AGCTGCTTCCAAGAAAATGTCTCAGAGCTTTGAGTGGGTTGTGGAGGGAGCTGTTGGTGCAGAGCAGAGCGAGGCTCCCCTGCCACCTGCTCACACAATCACAAGGTTGTGAGCTGGAAGGGACCCACAAGGGTCGTGGAGTCCAGCTCTTAGGTGAATGGGCCATACAGGGATCAAACCCACAGCTGTGGCATTATTAGCACCGTGCTCTGAGCCCTTGAGCTCATCTCAGGGTCCTGTGCCCTCTGCAGTGGGTGGGCTTGGCTGAGGGGGGAGGTCATTCACATCCCCAGTTCTCTCTCTTCAGGGTGTGAGGAGTTGTGTGACACCTCCCATTCTCCCCTCCCACCAGCACTTTACAGGCACTCGGAGCTTCCTGCCCTTCCAGAGATGGCCAAGGAAATCCTCTTCCCCTGCTGCCTCTCTGCAGTCCTGTCACTGGGCCTCCCTCCCCGTTTTCCAGCTTGGACTTTGCTGTAACCCCTCAGTCCCATCCAGGACTCAGCCGTGGAGTCCTGAAGTGAGTGGGAAAGGCCTTTGCTTCCCTGTTTTATGGGCTCTGGTTTGTAATAAAGGTTTGTACCCTCAGTGCTCTGGTGTTGCTCAGCATCTCCCTGGGGCAAGGCCTTGAGACCCGTATTTTTCATTATGTTTGGATTCTCTTCCTGCTGGGACTCTGCATCGTGGCTGAGCCCTGCAGAGCTCTCACCTGCTGCCCTGGGCCCTTTGGATGCTGCAGTTCAGACTTAGCTTGTTCCTTCCCTGATCTCCTGCCCTCTGGCCCTGGTTTGGGACCTTGGTGTTTGGATCCCACAATGGAGAGTCGCTCATCACCCCCAGTCACGCTGGTTTTAATCCATCCCAGGTCTCTGAGGGGTTTTAAACATCAGTTTTCCTGCCAGAACACTTGTGTTTGCAGTGCTTGGGGAGTCTGGAAGACTCTGATCTCCAGGACAAACAGGGGTTGGAACACACGGATTTTATTCGTTTTGTGGAAGCATGTCCATGTGACCCCAGCGAGGACGTGACAGTGCTGAGCAGCAGCAGGACAGACACCGAGGGGACACAGCCAGGAGGGAGCTGTGGCCCTGGAAGCTCAAGCGCAGCCTTCGCCCTTCCCTCACTCACACCCACCCTCATCATCCTCACCCACCCTCACACACACACACGGTACCGCCGTGGCAGCAGCACTCCCAGACCCCCCTGTGCCCTGGGAATGGCCTGCTGGAAAATCCCAACCGTCCTGTGCAAGAGCTGTGGGGCAGCAACAGCTCCCGGGGGGTCTCCAGCTCTTCCCTGGCTCCGTCCCAAACCAGTTCCCTGTGAGTTCACCTGGGGTTCTGTACCTTTGCTGAGATGTGTCTCCATCAGCCCCGGGGGGCTCAGACCTCCCGTCCATCACCTGCAGTACTGAGGGGCCTGAGACACCCCAGCACCACCCCTGTGTCCCACAGGCAGGGCAACGGGAGGAGATGGCTCTCAGCTCATTCCCAGCTAAAAATCTACTTGTCTCTCTGTGCCTCAGTGCAGAAAAGTCTCGTAGCTTTAAAAAAATACCCACTTTGGCTTTAGTCCTTTTGCCAGCAGAGGTAGTGGAGTCGTGTTGAAGGGTTGATTCATCTCTTTACAGAAAAGGAAGCTCAAGATTATACTGGCCAGGGCTGGGGATGGATTTGGGATGTGGTGGCCTTGAGAAGGAGGAAGAAGCACCTCTCCATGGGGACCTGCTCCATGCCCAGCTCCAAGAGCAGAGGGTTGGTCCTGGACTTGCAGCTCTTTGGAGACCAAATGACTGTAAAACCAACGCCCTGAGAGCTCAGCAGTGCTCAGGACCCTGCAGCCAGGCCAACCTGACACTGAGCCCAACCACAGCCTGCAGCTGCTCTTGGCATGGCTCCTGCCAGGGAGAGAAATGCCCATTGATCCAAATGCCCATCGATCCAAGCAGCAACACAGACGCCGTCAGCTGGTACCAGGGGAGCCCTGGTGGCTTTGGGGCAGGAAATCCACCCTGGGCTCCAGGTACAGTCAGTGCCAGTGAGGAACATCCCCAGACCTGGCAGATGGCACAGCACAGCCCTGGGTTCCTTCCCAGTCCTCAACGAGCACACAAGGAGGGTCTGCCCCTGTCTCCTGGAGCTGGTGCTTCACGGCTGCC